TCTGCGCCACGCACCACCCCCCGCAGGGTCAGCGGGACTGGAGGCTGGTCAGCCCGCGGCTGTGAGGTCGTCTTCCGCAACGAGAGCCATGTCAGCTGCCAGTGCAACCACATGACGAGCTTCGCTGTGCTCATGGACGTGTCCCGGCGCGAGGTGGGACGCGCGCAGCCGCAGCGCCCTGACGGGAGCCCGGGCCGAGCCCTGCCCTTCCTGACGCCCCACGCCTTCCCTGCAGAATGGGGAGATCCTGCCGCTGAAGACCCTGACTTACGTGGCCCTGGGAGTCACCTTGGCCGCCCTGCTGCTCACCTTCCTCTTCCTCACCGCCCTGCGCACCCTGCGCTCCAACCAGCACGGCATCCGGCGTAACCTGACGGCTGCCCTGGGCCTGGCTCAGCTGGTCTTCCTCCTGGGCATCAACCAGGCTGACCTCCCTGTAAGACACCCCGGGACCCTCCCCGGCCCCACCCCCACACCCCCAGCAGCCTGCTCTTGGGCAGCCCCAGTGGCTGACGGGCCGGGCCCTCAGTTTGCCTGCACAGTCATCGCCATCCTGCTACACTTCCTGTACCTGTGCACCTTCTCCTGGGCCCTGCTGGAGGCCCTGCACCTGTACCGAGCGCTCACAGAGGTGCGAGACGTCAACGCTGGCCCCATGCGCTTCTACTACATGCTGGGCTGGGGCGTGCCCGCCTTCATCACAGGTGCCAGCTCTCCCACTCCCGTCCCCGGCGGGTGGGTAGGGAGGTGAGCCTCGAAAGAGGTGTCCCCAATTTAACCCAGCCATGGCCACGGACAATCCCCATGCCAAGAGGCCAGCATGTCAGAGTGGACCCTACCTGCCCCATGCTCCTAACACCGGCCTTGTTGTCCCTGCCTGCAGGGCTGGCTGTGGGCCTGGACCCCGAGGGCTACGGAAACCCTGACTTCTGCTGGCTGTCCATCTATGACACTCTTATCTGGAGCTTTGCGGGCCCCGTGGCCTTTGCTGTGTCGGTGGGTGCCGGGCAGTGGCTGGACGGGGAGGCCGCTTGGGGACAGCCGAGGCTGCTGGTGGGGCAGGCAGGGATCCATCTGTCCATCTGTCTGCCTGTGCCCGGCATACCCAGCCTTGCCCTCCCTCCCACAGATGAGTGTCTTCCTGTACACCCTGGCAGCCCGTGCCTCCTGTGCAGCCCAGCGGCAGGGCTTCGAGAAGAAAGGCCCCATGTGAGTATGCACTGCCCGGCCAACTGGGGCGGTGGGTGGTGGCTGGGGGACACTACTGCAGGACTCACCCCATCCCGCCCCACCCAGCTCTGGCCTGCGGCCCTCCTTCGCCGTGCTCCTGCTGCTGAGTGCCGCCTGGTTGCTGGCCCTGCTCTCGGTCAACAGCGACACCCTCCTCTTCCACTACCTCTGTGCTGCCTGCAACTGCATCCAGGTCCCGCAGTGGAGGGGCGGGAAGCCGGCCTGGGGGTGCCTCAGGGAGAACGCTCAGACGCCAACACCACCTCTTCACTGCCAGGGCCCCTTCATCCTCCTCTCCTACGTGGTGCTGAGCAAGGAGGTCCGGAAGGCACTCAAGTTTGCCTGCAGCCGCAAGCCCAGCCCTGACCCTGCTCTGACCACCAAGTCCACCCTGACCTCGGTGAGGGCACCTGCTGGCTGGGAGGGAAGAGGAAGCCGAGGCCCCAGGAACACCCCTTTGTGCTTTCTGCCCCACGTGCCTCCCTGTGCTGAAGAAGGGGTGCTGAGGTCGATGTGGGCGTGGGGGTGGTGAGGTAGGTAGGAGGAGGTAGGTAGAGGATGCCCAGGGATCCTGAACTGGGGAGTTTCCTGTCTCCCAGGATGCTCTCAGGTGACAATTCCTGACCCCACTTTGCCCCCCGCCAACAAGCCCTTGTATTGCCTGGTCCAGGGTATCTGAGGTGCACAGGGCAGCTGAGCCAGGACCACCTGCCAGGTCCTGCCTGAGGAAAGGGGCAGGAGGAATGTGGGGCCCTCCTCTTCCGAGCTTCCCTCTGCTCCTCCCCCACTGACAGGCCTCTCTGTTCCCTGCCTAGTCCTACAATTGCCCCAGCCCCTACGCAGACGGACGGCTATACCAGCCCTATGGAGACTCGGCCGGCTCTCTGCACAGCGCCAGCCGCTCGGGCAAGAGTCAGCCCAGCTACATCCCCTTCTTGCTGAGGTGACCCGTGGGCGGGAAGGGTGGGGAGAGGGGAGATGACTATGCTCCAAATGCAGCGTCCGCCAGGCGCCAGGAGCTGAGCTGTGCACAGCGGGGTGGACATGGGGAGGGGGGACTGGTGACTGGACAGTTGCAATTGGAAGCAGTAGGGACTTAAGGCCTGGCCCTGGAGTCCCAGGAGAGGGCAGAGGCTGATGGGACACTGGGCAAAGGGCCCAGCTGACCCCTCCAGCATGGTCTTGTCTTCTTAGGGAGGAGTCCACATTGAACCCTGGCCAAGGCCCTCCTGGTCTGGGGGACCCCGGGGGCCTGTTCTTGGAGGGTCAAGACCAGCAGCATGGTGAGAACAGAGCCTCCAGGCTGGAGCCAGTAGAGCAGCTACCGGCTTGGGCTGAGGGGTGGGTGGGGGTGGGGGGCCAGTTGTGATGTCTCCTGCTCCCACAGATCCTGACACGGACTCTGACAGTGACCTGTCCCTGGAAGACGACCAGAGCGGCTCCTATGCCTCAACCCACTCATCCGACAGCGAGGAGGAGGAGGAAGAGGCAGCATTCCCTGGCGAGCCGGGCTGGGACAGCCTGCTGGGGCCGGGCATTGAGAGACTGCCCCTGCACAGCACCCCCAAGGGTGGGCCAGGGCAGTGGCCCAGGGGGCAGAGCACCTGGAGTTCTTGGGGGCTGGGGTGGGATTCTCCTGGCTGTCAGCCTTCTTAGGGCCTCATGTGGTTTCGTCCCCATCAGATGGGGGCCTAGGGCCTGGGAAGGCCCCCTGGCTGGGAGACTTTGTGACCATAGCAAAGGACAGTGGTGGCAGCGTGGGCCCAGAGGAGCGCCTGAGGGAGAACGGAGATGCCTTGTCTCGGGAGGGGTCCCTGGGCCCCCTCCCAGGCCCTTCTGCCCAGCCGCACAAAGGTGAGTGGGACCCCTGACCTGCATGTAGGCCGGTGGAGCCAGCCCCTCCCAGCTCACCTGCCCTCGGCCCACAGGTATCCTGAAGAAGAAGTGTCTGCCCGCCATCAGCGAGAAGAGCAGCCTCCTACGGCTGCCCCTGGAACAGGGCACAGCATCTTCGCGTGGCTCCTCCGTCAGCGAGGGCAGCCGGGGAGGGCCCCCTCCGCGCCCACCGCCCCGGCAGAGCCTGCAGGAGCAGTTGAATGGGGTCATGCCCATCGCCATGAGCATCAAGGCGGGCACGGTGGACGAGGACTCATCAGGCTCCGAGTGAGTGGGGCCTGTGGGCAGACCCCCCAGGCCACTGTGGCCCGCAGCCAGGAGACCGAGGGGTGGAGTGCTTGCGGGCCAGCTCCTTGACAGGGACATGTGACACACACGTGCCTGTGGGCAACCAGGGGAGTTGAGGGAAGGGGGGAGCTGGGCTGCTGCTCTGTTTCCTCCTGTCCACTCTGTTCCGACTAACCCTCCGCCTCCCTTCTCTGTCGCTTTCCCTTCTGCCTCTGCAGATTTCTCTTCTTTAACTTCCTGCATTAACCCTGGGCCGTGCTCCCCACTCTCCACCGCTGCACTCACCCCCACTCCTGTCTTGTGCTTTATCCCGCCCCGCCCCCACCGCCTGCCCGCAGCAGCGACGACACGTCCATCTGAGGAGTCCGGCCAGGAGGGGTCCCCACTTAGTGCCAACTCCCTCCCCCACCCCACCCCTCACTGCACTTTGGACCCCTGGGGCCAACATCTCCAAGAGAAAAATTTTTCAGAAAAGAGGAAAAAAAACAAAAAAGAGTTTCAAAAAGGATCTCCACGCGTCATGACTTCAGGGATTCATTTCTTTTTATACGCTGGAAACGGACTCCCCTCTCCCTTCCCAAAGAGGCCAGGACGGCCCGGGCCGCGCTGGCCGCCCATCTGCGGTGCCTCTGGGAGGAGAGGGGCTGGGGGGCGTGGCCCTCAGTCGCCACCACCCAAAGGAAGGACAAAGCCAATGCCCCCAGGGCGCCCGACCGCAGGCGGCCTCGCCTCTCACCCCTGCTGTGCTGCCTCTCCCAGGAACTGAGAAGGCCTTGTCCAGCGAGGGCAGAAGGACTCGGCGCCCTGGACCCCCAAATGCTGCATGAACACATTTTAGGGGGAGCCTGCGCCCCCAGGTGGGGGCGGGGCACCCCAGCCCCTCACCTCTTCCTGCAATCTGCCGCCCAGGTGTTCGCTCCGTTTGCTGTTGCTGACCCGAAAGTGCTTCATTCACCGCCCTCCCCACCCGCCGGGGAGGACCAGTCACGTGTTCATTTACGCTTCTCTGCTGGGTGGGGGTGGGGGTGGGGGAAGTTAATGCAGTGCTGACTCTGAGGGGCTGCAAGCACAGGTTTCAAGTCTGGGTTCTGGTTTCCACTCGCCCACCCCACCCCCAGCACCCCCAAATCAGGCCAAGTGCCCTGTGGTAGCCTACATGTTCTATTTTTAACCCCTTCTTGGAATTGGCTCTCTTCTTCAAAGGACCAGGTCCTGCCCCTCTCTTCCCCACCCCACCCACTCCCGACCCCCAGCTCCCTGCGAAGAGAGAGTTAATATATATATATTTTTTATTTATTTGCTTTCTGTGTTGGGATGGGTCTGTGTCCTGCCCAAGGGGTCTGAAGTGGCCGGCACAGGTTGGGTGTGTTCCCAGTGGCCCTGGGGTGGGCACCCAGGCTGTCATCCCTCCTCCTACTTCCCACCCCCCCCCTCCCCCTCCCCAGTTCTGCCTGCTGCGCTCCTTCCGAGCTGCCATTTCCTCTAAGCCTGTGTCCCCGACCAGCCATGCTGACCTTCCTTCTGGAGAGGGTGGTCAGGCAAAGAGGCCACGGGGAGCGTCCCTGTTTCTCATTTTAAGACTGACCTCTGGATATTCCGCCATGTCGTCTCTCCCCCACCACCTCCCCTCAGCAATTCCTGCAAAGGGTTAAAAATTTAACTGGCTTTTACTACTGATGACTTATAAAAATACAATGATGCTGGATGCTAACTCGATACTAACACCAGGTTGTGCAGGTTGAGTCACTGTAAATACGGTAGGGTCTTGTCACCGACCTCTGCTTTGTGGTACTCATGTCCCCATACTACTGAATAAACTAATTCTGTCCGGTGGACGGAGCACGGTACTTCTGCACAGCGCCTGCCGTCTGGAGGACGGGGCAGGCAGCTCCTCACTGTGGGCCCCAGAAGGGACCCCAAATGGTCATGTCAACCCAGGCAGTTCCAGGGGTCCCAGGTGGCCTCCTCTCAAAGAAGCAGTGACTGCTGGGGCTGCCCACAGGGAGGGACATGCAGGTTTCTAGCCTGCCCCCTCAGGACAGGCTTCCCAGAGGTGACATGCAGGTGGCATGGAAGGTGGAGAATGAATTAACTACTCTTACTCCAGAGCCTGGTATGGTTAGGCTGCTGAGCGCAAGACCAGCAGTTCAAAACCACCAGCCACTCCTCAGGAGAAAGAGGAGGCTTTCCACTCCCATCAGCAGTCAGTCTCCGGAACCCACAGGGGCGGTTCTGCCCTGTCGGCCAGGGTTGCTGGGAGCTGGAATGGGCTCGCTGGCAGTGGGCGTGGTTTGTGTTCTCCAAGCCACTGCTCTTCCCACGTCTTACTTGTCTTACTTGCTTCAACGGCCGGTGTTAGCACAAGGGCCAGATCGGGTAGCAGTTAACGAGGCCGGGAACCAGGCTTAATCTGTCTGAGCCTCGTTTCTCCATCTGCGGATGATGATGATGCTAATAGCATCGTGTAATGGAGCGTTTATGAGGATTAAGTGAGTTCACACATGGAGAGTGCTTAAGTGGTCCACAGTGTGCTGTCAGAGGCTAATAAATGCGCGCGCGCGTGCGTGTGTGTGTGTGTGTGTGTGTGTGTGTGTGTGTGTAAGTGAAGGGGAGGGTGGATGTCGAATGCTTAAAGACAGAAAAGTCACAAGCCTGGCATAGTGGGAGGGAAGTTAGCAGCCCTGCGCTGAACTAGGACAGCTGTGGCAGGTAGGCCTCCTCCTGGCTGGCACTGCCTACTGACTGGGAAGAACAGTTGGTCTGCGAGAGTGAATATGGGAAATGCTGTGCCCTCCCCAGCCACCAGGTGGCAGGGACACGTGCACCTGCAGCTCACACAATACGCCACCTGCATGCAGGCCACACCTGGGACTGCTAGCTGACCTAGAGCCGGAAATCACCACCTGGCAGGTGCAGAGGAGAAGTTCACACTTGTTATCTTGCCGTATCCCAAACATTCAGCATATACCTCCACCCCTTTTCCCCACATAAAATCTTACGATCCCGGAGGCCACCGGAGTTGCTTTCCCATGATGCCCAGGGAAAAGTGAATGCTTACTTTGCCATCCACGTTGAGCAGGTAGAGGTGCCAAACGAACCCTAACACCCGCTGTAAAAAAGAAAGAAGCCAAGGAAGTGCAAGGTCCCAGCAGGGAGAGGAAGACCTCTGCCATGTCCATGCAGGGCGCTTACAGGCATGTGGGGCAAGGTGCTGGGAGTCCACTGTCCCTTTGCCCAGTTTCTTGCTGGCTTCCTTCAGTCACAGTTAGTTCGAAAGGAGGGAATTTGCCTCAGAACTCTACAAGAATTGTCTTGGAGTGGTTCAAGCCAGGGGAACAAGGAGACCCAATCCTGAATCTACTAAATGAGCCTTTGTCATTCATTCAACAAACATCCACCGTCTTGCATCCAGATGTTTTCCAGTGACATGAAACTCGACCAGCTTGAATCCTAGCACCAACACTAGGCACTGCAGAGGCTTAGGAAGCCTTGCGCCAGCCCCCACGTCCAGAAGTCTAGAGGAGATGCGATGAGGTCTCTCAGCAGCATCTGGCTGAAGGAATCAGGAGACCGGAGCATGGGGCACGGGGCACCATCACAAGCTGCTCTGCAGAGGAGGAGCTGGGGCGGGGTTTCTAGGGGGCTCCACTCTCCTAGGAAGGACTTTCACCTTGAGAGCAGACAGAGTCATTCACCTGGAAGCTGGCTTTATACCCGCTGCGCACAGTGAACTCCCTCGGTATCTATGGAGACTGGTTCCAAGTCGCCCACACATACCTAAGGCCTGACATGAAACCCTGGAGCATTTGCGTTTCCACCACTCACTCATCAGTTTGTCATACTGTGGTGGCCGTGATGCTGGAAGTGGGGCCAAGCGGTATTTCAAATACCAGCAGGATTGTCCCTGGTGGACAGGTTTCAGCAGAAAGTTTCAGACAATCTAGGAAGGACGAGGCGGACACCTTCTGAAAAAACGAGCCACTAGAAACCTTACGAACAGCGGTGGAACATTGGCTGACGACGGTGCCCGGAAACAAGCCCCTCGAGTTGGGAGGCACTCAGAATACAGCTATGGAGAGGCTGCCCCCGCAAAGCGCAGAAAACAAACATCCTCACCACTGGACCGACAGGCCACATCATGAGAAACTGAGAGAAGACTGAAGTGGTCAAGGATCGCACTGTACTTGTATCTGCAACCAACATTCCCGGGGGCAGCACCCAAGCAATCAAACGGCATGATGCCCTGGGCAAATAAGATGTTGCCTTGAGGATGAAGGTGTGCCTGACAAGAGCCAGGGGGTTTCCAGCGGCCTCGTGCACTGTGAACGCCAGGGGATGGATACGCAAGACCTAGGAGAACAGAGGCATTGGAATTAAGGCGTCCGCTGCCAGACAACACACACATCTGCCTTGGAACAGGTAGAGCTGGAAGGCTTCTTAGAATCTTAGAGACTTTGCTTCACACCCTTTTATCAGGCAAGACCAGTCCCCGGAGAAGGACTTCCTGCTTGGTAAAGGAGAAGGTCAACAGCAAAGAGAAGACCCTCAACAGATGGACACCGTGCCTGCAACAATGGGCTCAGAGGACACGCGGGAGGATATTGGGGGACCGGGTAACATGGTACACAGGGTCACTATGAGTCAGATCGGACTTGAAGGCACCAAACAACAATGATTTGCACATAACCTGCACACCTCCTCTTGAATTAATTACTTAAAATAGCAAACAGTGTAAATGAGATGTAAATAACACCTGATGCTCCACTTAGCCTTCGAGGGATTGCTTTGATCACTGAATTGCTTGTCCCCCACCCCCAAGCGTTGCAGAACCTGTGGGCATGGAGAGCTGACTGCACTTAACTTTGATCTGGACCTTTAATAATCTATGAGTCCTGGAAGGAGGCCAACAAGAGGGGCGGAGTAGCCACATGCTGATGAGCTGCAGCCTCAAGGCCAAGGGCCTGTTGGGGCCCCTGCCCAAGAAGCCCAGACCGATTCTCTCCCCAGAATGACACAGGGGGCTCCTCAAAGTTACTTAGATATTAGACGAGACCCACTTTCATACAATATAAAAAATACGTTTATTTTCAGAAAGACAGACTGGTGGAGTAAGGTGGTTGCCCCTCCTGGTGGAGGTCAGGAGTCAGGGAGGCCCCTCTCCCGAGGCCATGCATGTGAATGCCCACAGGGATGGAAATCACCCCCCCCACCCCCCACCCCCAGCAGGGAAGCAAGGGGTTGGAAGCAAGAGTGGGGGTGGATGAGGACACCCACTCCTGCATTTTTCAAGTTCTGTTTGTTCATCTGAAGACCAGGAGGTGACCTCTTTTTCCTGAATCTGCTTTCAATGCAGAGAGTTTAATGCCCCCTGCAGTTCAACCCTAATCCACCCATTTCCCAAGGTCTCAACTCCTGGGGGACCAGCCCTGGTAGCATCTCCTCCACTGGTCCTGGGGCAGGAGAGTCAGGGTCAGGGTCTGCCTCCAACAAAAGGGCTGGGGAGGCCCAGAAGAGGTAGGGCCAGGCAGCAACTGTAGTGGTTGACTACTGAAATTTGCTTGCCGTCCGAACTCCTTACCTAAAGGGGCAGAAAGGGACAGGGCTTGAAGCTGCCCATCTCCCGGGCCATTTGCCACCCAGTTGAGTAGAGATGGGACCCCCATGCCCATCTTGTTACAGGGCCCACAAGGATTTGGAGCAACAGACATGATGGGGTACCTAGCCCAGGATGGATGGCAAGGGAGAGAAAAAGCGCCCTAAGCAGACCGACCTGGTAGGCCCTGGGACGGCGGCTTTCCTGGGGGCCTGCAGATTGCCGCGAGTAGCACCAGTGGCAGGGAGATTTGGCCGCCTAGAAACAGGCACTTGATGGAGGTGAATAAGAAAAAGGAGTTAGCAGAATATTCCATCGAGCTTCTGGAAAGAAATATTAGATGAAAGGAGAGTGAGTTTGGGATTGGCACCCCCTCCCCCAATGGGGGTGGGGGGCGGGAAAGCGGGTATTCCAGAACCAGACTCAGATTCTTGGCCCAACTTCACATTCTCTCTTTAACTCAGTTTCCCCAGCTTCCAAAGAGTTTGAAGCAAGACAGAAAGTGCTCACTGCTGCGGGCTCTGGGCAGGTGGGGCCAAGCTGGGCACAGTAGGGGCTCTTCTCTCCATTTCTTACCCATAGGGCCACACTCCTCACCTCGGTGGCCTGCAGCACTTGGTCTTGGAAGCCCCTTGTGACTTGACAGAGAATCTGGAGGAAGACCACCTTTGCAGGGTAGTACACTCCGGCTGGAGAGTGGCATGCGGCCCACAGGCCTGGGGAGGGTCGTGGGGACCGGCAGCCGACTTGAAGGTTTAGCAGCTGCACCTTGCGGCGGGGCGGGGCGCTGAGAGTTGCTGGTGGAAGGCTGCTGCGGGGCCAGGACTGGTCTGGCCGGGGCAGCTGGGTGGAGAGGAATAGGGAGGTCAGGGGAAGTGTCACAACTTCCTCAGGCCCAGCCCACTGCTGCTGCCTAGCTCTCCCACCTGCTCCGGCTCGCTCACTGGGCCTGGCTTGCCCTGGGACCGGAGCAGCTAGTCGGCGTGGAGGGGTGGATCGGCTTGGGGGGGTGGATCGGCTTGTGGGGGTGGATCGGTTTGCGGGGCTGGATCGGTTTGAGGGGCTGGATCGGCTCGGAGGCGTGGATCGGGCAAGAGGAGAAGATGCTGGGCTTTTTGATGCAGGGAACAGATTGCATGTGGGCGATTCCTGAAATACAAAGAGGAAGGGGAGGGGGGGGGAAAAAGCCGGATAGGAATTGTGAAAGAATCTGTTCTGCTGGCTTATTATGGGATGCAGTGGAAAGCTGCCTAGATCCCAGTAAGAAGGGGGCAGGAGTTAGCTGCCAACACCATCCTCCTCTCCATCCCCAATGTCACTTACTGAGAGCTTAGTACAGGCAGGGCACCATGCTCAGCCACTTGTTCGAGGCATTTTGTTAATTCCCAACAATTCTATCAGGCCCATTCTGCCCAGGAGGAATGGCATCCTGCTCCTGCGCATGCACTGTGCCTGAGGGGACACTCCCAACAAACCCTCTGAGCTCACCCTCTTCGAGCTGGCCAGCCTCTTTCCAGGTGTGGTCCGAAGAGCTCTGACTGAGCCCTTTCTGTCACCGCTCCGCAGTCGGGGCGTCAGGCTGCGTGGAGAGGGTGTACTCCGAGCCAAGGAGCTCACAGTGGGCAGCAGGTCTCGCACAGGACTGTCCTTCAACACAAAAGTCTCCCGGCGGGGGCTGGGCTTCACCTGGCGGGGGCTGGGCCTCACCTGGCGAGGCGCTGGGCCCTCGAGGGCGCTCGCCGGCTCCTGCAGCGCACACTGCTCCAGCCGAGCGGCCAGGCGGTTGGCCTCTTGCAGGATCTCCTCCAGCTTCTCCGGGCTGAGGGGCCCTAAGCTGAACCTCGGGGCCTGGAGGGTGGGGGCCACTGCGTTGGAGTCACCTCGGTGGGAGAGGCCCCGTCGAAGCGGCTTCTCCGAAGTCGCCCACACTGCTGTGTCTTCCTCCTCACGACTGAGACAGACAGTAAACCAGGTATTGCGCCCACACAGGAGAGGAGCAGGGACAAACGCCCCACAATAGAGCCAGGCACACAGCCCCACACCTTGTGAGAGTTGGCATCTGGGTGGTGCGATGCACGTTTCCATGGGGCCTTCTGACCAACTTTGGGGGTTTTGCCAGAATGAAGAGGCATTACATCCACTTACCCTTCTCAACACCCGGAACTCTCACTCCGGGATTACTTCTTCTCCCCTCCCCGAGCTGAGCTCTGTCACAGAGATCCACATCAACCAGCCACCCAGCAGCCACTGCGCACCAAGCTTAGCCAAATTAGCAGCCCGGGCTCCAGAGGCCAACGCTCAGAGACAAAGAGGAGTTGCTATGGGAAAAGAAGCTGAATAAAGAGGCTGGTACCTGTCAGCTGGTGACAACCCTCCAAAATCCAAGGTCTCATCCACAATAAACTTGACATCTGGAGGAGAGAGGAGAAGGCATGCCAGCCCCGGGGGCCTGGGCACAGCTCTCAGTGGCACCACCTCCTTTGTCCCTCCAGGGCTTCCTTACCTTCCTCCGAATTCTCCATGTTCCAGCCAGAAGGTGCAAGAGTCCCTTTAGACCCGAGTTGGAGAAAAAAACACATTTCCTCGGGTCTCCCTTCTGCCCAAGCTCCCAGCTCTACTCAGGGTGCAAGGCAGGAGGAGAGTCATGCTGGAAGCCAAACCAGCGGCCCGGCTCCTACCGGTGTGGGAGTAGCTAACCCCGTTACCACCGCCCCTCGTCCCACAGGGAGGTCCTGATGGGACTGACGGTTCCAAAAAGTTCCGCCGTACACAACCACCCACTATGCAGGCTGCTCCGAGGTCTCTCCTCCATGGGGGCGGTCTGCGCGCTCCATTTTCCTTCGGCAATATCCATTACTTGGGTCCTTCCGCGACCCCCGCTCCCGGCACCCACACTATCCCACACCACACCTCCGGCCCACCCACCCCAGCGTCCATTCCCTCGGAACCTCACCTCCCGTGAAAGGTGCTTCCAGCTAACAATCCAGTCCCGGGAATCTGCTATCGGGAGGCGGGGCTCCTTTCAAATCTCCTAGGCTCCACCCACTTTTGCCATAGGCGCGCGGTCATTGGTGCATCCAGATCTTCCCCGCCCCTGGGAGGCGGGGCTGCAGCGGCCGGCCGGCCGGAAGTCAGCCGGAGGGGCTGGGGCTCCTTGGTGAGACTGCGCACCCCCGGCTGTGCCCGCGACGGGGGGCGTTCGGCTCCCGAGCGCCCGGCAGAGCGCGTCCCGCAGTGTGGCGGCGCGCTGGGCAGCGGAGCTACGAGCGTGGCTGTCGCGCCTTGGTCTCTGGTCATCGCCCCTCCTCTTCTCACGCACCACAGAACGACTGCCTTCTGAAAGGGGGGTCCTTACCGTCTGGTCTGGGGCCCCGCGGTCTTACCTGCCACCGGCGGACAGATGGAAAGGCTCAGTTGCCTGACTTGGCTCGCTGCTAAGGATAATCATTTCCTTGGGTGACCTCTAGGCCAAGGCCACATTGCCAGTGTTTCTCAATGGTGACTTTTCCATTTTTGCAGAAGCACCTACACGCATTTAAGGGATATTGAGGTCACGCCTCAAGTGTCTCCTGTCGGGCGGCTAGTGGTTTCAAACTGCTGACCTGTCGGTTAGCCGCCCAAGGTGTCACCCACCATGCCACCAGGGCTCAGTCTAAGCCACCCCCAGGGGCATTGCACCCTGCCCAGTGGGGCGGCAGTGAGGTTTTGAGTCTAAGGCAGACATTGACCTTCTCCTTTCCCCCTCTTCTTTATCACGTTTTCATTCAAAACTGGAGACAGCAGAGTGTGAAGCAAACAGGCGCGGTGTTGCTTCTTTCTTGGTGGTTGGGCATGCGCACCGCAGAGCATTCGCCAATGCAAACAATTCTACTGGAGCAATTCGGTGCCATCTAATGCATTCTTCAAGGTGCTCAAGCATTCTCACCTTCTCACTCCAAATTGTTCCCCCTCAGCCCAAAGGCCAACCCCCCTCACTGAGTCCCTTGCAGCTCCCCTGTGGAGTTTCTGTGGGAAACAAAGGGCTTTCCATCTGGGTATTTGCATTCAAATCGAGTTGGGCAGCTTGAACTCTGTGCCTCTGTCCACTTGTCCTTATACCGAGGACAGTAGGATGAGTAAAGATGATTTGGAAAATAACTATAAGCATAACATTTTATACCATAGACTCTGAGGGACATGGATGGAGTCTTTATAACTCTTCACCGTGGAACTAGAAACTGTATTTGTCAAATGCTTAATCATCATTTTAAGGATTTCCTCTCCGCTGCTTCAAAAGCTGCCCGTGCCATCAGTTAACACAGTGTCTTAGAAATACATGTTAAATTTTTAATGTCAGAAGGCCCGAGAGGTTGGCTGAGCAGCTTTCTATAAACAAAGAACTCGAACTTGAGTCCCCAGAGTTATGAGCCGTTTGGCCATTAATAGGCTTTTTATTTGTTTACTTCTTTCAGAGTAGGGGGTGGGGGGAGCTTTGAGTCTGTTGAAAGTCAAAGCTAAATCAAAGGGGACTAATGCGGATGTAGTTACGTTAAAATGTAACACCTTATCATCTGTTCTCCCTCTTGGCCCGTTTTAAATTTGTTCTAGCTGTTATTCTGCTTTCTTTCCTGTTGAAGTTTTTTTCTGTTTTGTTTTGTTGTTGGGTTTTTTGTTTGGTATGTTTTTCTTTACATGAAATGTAGGAACCCTGGGGGTGGAGTGTTACCTGTTGGACTGAGATCTGTGGTCAGCAGATCAAAACCACCAGCACTTCCCAGGGGAAAAGACTGGGCTTTCTACTCCTGGAAGCAGTTACAGTCTTGGAAACCCACAGGGTCACCGTGAGTCAGCACTGACTGACGGCAGGGAGTTTGGGTTGAGAGGATTGGTAGATCTATAGTGACAGAAACTGGATTAACGGTTCCTAGGAGGTATGGGAGGGGGGCTAGCGGGAGTGGGGAATGGGAAGCTAATGAATATAAGAATGAAGAAAATGTTCTAAAACTGATTGTGGTGATGATTGTACAACTCTTCTTGATATGATTGAACTATTGAATTTTATGATAAGTGAATTATATGCCAACAAACCTGTTAAAAAGTAGTTTCTTAGAGTTGTGACAGGGGAGGCTGGGGAAAATGGGGAGCTATTAATAAATATGCTAATAGTTAAATATGTTCAAACCATTAAATTGTATGGTTTGTGAATTATAAGTTAATAAAACTATTGAAATAAAACAAGTTCCATTAGAGACAGAAAAGCAATTTGCAAAATGGGGAAATGGTGAAGAGGTTCTTGACAAAATGCTCTGAGAAGGTTCCAAGGTTAATAAAGATGAAAGCAGCCATCGAGGGGGGATATTTGCGGTGTATTTGGTTGGAAGGAGCCCTGGTGGCCTAATGGGCTACCCTCTGGGCTGTTCATGACAAGGTCAGCAGTTCGAAAGCCCCCTTCTGGGAGAAAGATGAGACTTGCTACTCCTGTGAAGAATGACGGGCTCAGAAACCCACCGGGGCGGTTCTGCCCTGTTCTGTTGGGTCATTCTGAGCTGGGGGTGACCCAATGCCAGTGAGTGTGAGGGTCTTTGAGCTTATTTGGTTGGATCTCAGTTACAAAGCTCAGGTGGCAGAATTTCCACTGACTGCTTTTGCAGGACTAGACTTCCTCTGTAAGGAGGGGCTCTAGGTGAGATATTTTTCTGGAGCATTTAAAGATATATAAATACAGAGTGCCATAAGATAAGAAGAGTCTACGGATCATGGAAGAAGTCAAGCCAGAGTCCTCCTTAGAGGCAAGGGTGGCAAGACTTTGTCTTATAGACCGTGGGCATATTGCCTGGAGAGACCAGTCCCGGGAGAAGGACACCAAGCTTGGTGGTCGTGAAAAAGAGGAAGACCCTCAACAAGATGGATTGACACGGCTGCAACCGTGGGCTCGGTCATAGAACCGTGGTGAAGAGGGCGCAGAACCCGGCAGTGTTTTGTTCTGTTGGGCACAGGTCGCTGTGGGTAGGAACTGACTGGCACCTATCAACCACAAGGAGCTGACCACCAGATTCGCACGAAGCGTGAGATCATCCAGGTACCCGTAGCTTAGCTTCTGAGGTTAGCTCTGCTGAAATGGATTCTGCAGGAATGGGCCAGAAAACCAAGGGCCACCAGCCTAACACAGTCCACAAAGACCAGAGCCCCATCCGACTTGGGTGAGTAGCGACCGGGGTCTGAAAAGCTTGTGAACAGCCATCTAAGGTGCAGCTGTCGGTCTGTCCTTGCCCAGAGGAAAGCAGAGTACAGAATATTGAAGGTGATGCTGCAATTGCTCTGTATGGCCCTTCTGTCCGTAGTCTTCTCAATTCCCACCGAATGACTGGGTGGGAGCAGGCAATGGAGTGTATGGGACAACTATGGGTCCATTTTGTCGTTCTGCTGAGTATGGACTGAGCCCTCTCAGAAGGAGCAACAGAGAATCTCACAATCACCAAGAAAGCAGAGCCTAGAGGGTGTCTCAGATACCATGTGGAGAAGTGGCACCAGGGGCCGAAGCCCCAGAGACCATGGCACTGAGATCATGAGAGACAGAGTGGCCCTCCTGCCCGGGATCAAGTGAAGTTGAATAAGCCTTTGGACAGGAGGCTGGCAAGCAGAATGAGGCACCCTCTGGGGATTTATTAGCTCTAAAAGAGCTTTCTAACACTTGGTGAGCAGCTCAGAGGCCCAAGAGCCTCATGGTTGAGGCTGACAACTAGAGAGAGACGTGGCTGCTGGCATGGCTGAGAAGAGGTGCTGTGTACAAAAGAATTGTATTTTTAAGTATTTCTGACCCAACCTGTTAACTCCCGCAATAAACCCCAAAATCCTGAGTATTGTCTCTGAGTTCTATGGGACCATTGCAACAGATTATCGAATCCAGAGAGAAGTAGCGTGTCCTGGAAGGGATGGTTGGTGTCCGAATAAGGTCCGGAATGCTGCAGGATGAAGGCATATGCGGCCTCTGCCTCATAGGATCATTCTTGGGCAGATGGGAAATTCGAGTCCTTACCGGCTCTGTGTCGCCGGAGGAATGGAGACAGGGGGCTCAGGGAGGATGTGGAGTGAGTGACAGTACACTGTGCGGACTGCAGGGAATGCGATCAAACCAATCTGCCCTGAAAACCTTCACCCAAGTCACAATTAAGAGGGTTTTTTTAAAAGAAAAACTGGTCAAGGGAGGAATACTGGTGTTGTCGTTAAGTGCCTTCAAGTCTGTTCTCATCCATAGGGACCCTCTTAAAACAGAAGGAAGCACTGCCTGGTCATACGCTACCCTCACCATCGTCTTTCTATTTGAGCCCGTTTTTTGCAGGCACTTTGTCAAGCCATCTCGTTGAAAGCTGTGTTCGTCTGGGTAGACTAGAGAAACAAATCCATGGACACACCTATGTGTATAAGAAAGAGGTTTATATACAAGAGCAATTGAACATGGAAAAAAACATCCCAGCCCAGTCCAGATCAAGTCCATAAGTCCAATATTAGCCCATATGTCCGTTGCCAATCTATAAAGACCTCTTCCGACTCACGAAACACCTGCAATGAAGCCAAATGCAAGACAATCACAAGCCAGTGGGTAGAAAGTCCACGGGTCCAGTGGTGGTGTAAGCATCTCAGCGTTGGCAGGGGTCTCTCTGTGGCTTCTCTGACTTCAGAGGTCTGGTTACATCCATGTGGCTTGTCTTCTGCAATGTCTCCCCCAGAGTAGCAGAGGAAGAGAGAGGTGTTTCCCACCTCCAAGGAGGAAGTACTGAAGTTCCCAGAATCTCAGGAGAAGGCCATGCCCACACAGAAGTCTCATTGGCTATCTCCAGATTGACAGCCTAGACTCCACCCCTACACACTTAATCCTTAAACTGACATCAGATTAGGTGACTACCACAAAAGCCTTCCCCTTTTTTGCTGCCCCTCTACGATAGCAAACATGATGTCCTTCTCCAGGGACTGGTCCTCCTGACAACATGTCCAAAGTACCTGAAACAACGTCTCCCCATCCTCGCCTCTAAGGAGCCTCCTGGCTGTACTTCCTCCAAGACAGGGCTGCTTGTTCTCTTGGCAGTCCATGCATGGGACTTTCCCTATTCTTCAAAAGCAGCAGCATCCAAATGCCTCAATTCTTCTTCGGACTTCCTTATTCAAGCTAACTTTCACATGCATTATGAGGCAAGGGACCGTACCATGGTCCCTTAAGTCTCAAAGTAGCATTCTTTAGCTTTTCAACCCTTGAAAGAAGTATTGTGCAACAGATTTACCCAATGCAATGTGCACATTAAAGGTTGTTTATAAGCCTTCCTCCAGTCCTGATGCCACATTCTTCCTCATATAATCCAGCT